GCCCCGCCACCGCCCCCCCCCCGAGTCTCCCCGGCCCGGCCTGGCCCCCTCTCCCGCAGGATACGAAATACACGGAGAGGAAGATCAGAGCGCAGCAATCAATGAGCGAGAAGATGAACACAACGGACTCCATGCCACCAGCGCCGCCCTGCCTCCCGGCCACCGTACACTGCAGTTTCCGGCTCTCTTCCTCCTCCCCCGTTCACCGTCTCAAGCTGTACATGCCCGCCCCTCGGAGCTCACCCCGCGGCATGCTGGGAAATGTAAATACACGGAGAGGAAGATCAGAGCGCAGCAATCAATGAGCGAGAAGATGAACACAACGGACTCCATGCCACCAGCGCCGCCCTGCCTCCCGGCCACCGTACACTGCAGTTTCCGGCTCTCTTCCTCCTCCCCCGTTCACCGTCTCAAGCTGTACATGCCCGCCCCTCGGAGCTCACCCCGCGGCATGCTGGGAAATGTAGTCTTCACTTCCCTCCCTAGACCTGCAAGGGCTGCTGCAGGCAGCAGTGAGGTGGTGACCCCTGGGAAGGGAAGCCTGGCCTAACGTTTGGGATGAGGCAGGGAGAAATCCCTCACCTTTCAGATATCAGTCCTGCTCTGAATAGGGCCCCGGGAAGGGGCTGGGACTATGAGGATGGGATGGGGACCTTTGCACAGAACAGAATCCCAGTAGCACACATCTTTCTCAGTCCCACCCAGGAATCCCAGACCCCAATGCAAACCCATTCACTTCCTCCCTCCAGGAGAAAGCACATAATCCTAATAGCTGCCACAGCTGGGCCAATGGGATGGAGGGAGATTAGCATAAGATTTAAAATCATAACTTTAAAATTTAATGGTGGTGACATTAATAAAACAAAATCCATGAGAGTTAGGTTATTCCTAAAGTTAAGGTTCTTATTGCATTACTAACTGTGCATGTGTAACCCAGAGGCACTAAGAAGGGAGAGTAAAGTCTGTCCATTAGCTATACACATGCACATCTTGTTATTTCAATAACATAACTAACAAGAGAAACAGAAATGTTACTACCTGCAGAATGTGGAAGGCAGAAAAGTTAACATTGTGTTAAAGTTTCAAGAGAAGGGGGAGTTGAAAATAACTGACCTGTCATGCTAGGTAGGGTAGCCAGGTATCTGCTTTTCGACCTGAACACTCAGTTGACAAGGAAACCTGGAGGCTCCAGTCAGCACAACCAACAATGCTGTTCAAAGTCTGTTTGGTGGTTCAGTAGGGCTAAGACTGGCTCCATACCTGCCCTGACTCCATGTGGTTCCCAGGAAGAGGCCATCAGGCTCTTGCAGCTACTAGGTGTACAAGAAGGCAAGGAGCCTCTGTGTGCTTCCCCTGCCCTGAGCACCAACTTTGTTGCTCCCATTGGCTGCACGGGAACCACAGCCAATGGGAGGTGCTGGGGCAGAGCATGGAGCCTCCCTAGCCTTGTGCCTATGAGTTGCAAAGACTTGATGACCTTCTTCCAGAAGCCATCTTAGGTAAGCACCTCCGAGACTCCACAACTCTTCCTGTGCACCAACCAACACTGAGCCCCTCCTGTACCCAGAACCCCTTAGCCCTAGTCTAGAGCCTCTTCTGTACCCCAAACTCATCATCCCTGGCCCCAACCCAGAGCTTGCTTCCCCATGTCAACCCTTTGCCCCAGCCCTGAGCCCCCTCCTGCATCCAAACTTCCTCCCAAAGCCTGTATCCCCGCTACACTTCACAATCCTCAGCCCCATCCTCATCCAAATCAGTCATCTCTAGCCCCATTCCAGAGCCCACACTCCTAGCTGGAGTCCTCATGCCTCCTATCATCCCAACCCTCTGCCACAGCTGTTCTGAGCCCTCTCCAGCACCCCCAAACCCTAATCCCTGACTCCCCTCTATCTAGCCCACAACCTCAGCTAGAACTCTCATTCACTCCTACACCCCAACCCCTGGCCCACCATGGTGAAAGGAGGGCCCAAGCATAATATTTTCAGACCCAGTGCAAACTTATAACACAGACCCCCCTCCCGCACACATACCACAAGGTGTAGCATGGGCTGGATCCCAGTGAAGTGTCCTCTCCTGCCATGTGAGGGCCCTGGATGAAAGTAAGGGAAGATAAAGTGAAGGGGCACAGCCTCAGGGATGGTGCTAGTGGAGATAAAGGTAAGTTTTGGGCCATTATTAAGTTGGCAATCCTGATGCTAGACTTGTCAAACTGAGTGTTGTGTCCGTGCCTGAACTTTGCATTTAATTTACTTGGCTTACTGATAAGCAGGGCTCGACAAATAATGCAATCTACTTGCCCGTGGCGAGCAGATTGCAACCCGGAAGAGCCGGGTTCAGGTGATCTGTGCATACGCAGATCGCCGGAAAGCACGGCTGGCAAGCAGGGCTTGCCGCGGTTCAGTGAGCCCTGCTGATAAGGCTCCTAGGCATTATAACACCAATAATAAACAAATAATGGCATGGCATTAATTGACTCATCCTGGCATGGTTTTAACTGAAACACCGGTCATTGCTGGGGCCTCAGTACAAGCACCATACAACCAACTTGTCACACTTGTCTCTAAAGCAGGGCTACTCAACACGCAGCCCATGTGTTTGCAGCCCACAATCCGATTGTTTGAGTCCCGCTGTGTGGTTTGGGTTTAGATGGGGCTCAACACGCAGGCTGCGTGTGGGAGCCAAAACAAAAAGGTAGTCAATATAATTGTCTTCTGTTGATATGCATTTTAGTAGCTAAATTCCGGGACTCTCATTGCTCATTAAAAGTGCTGTTATCTGGGTGGAAAGCAGGCAAATATTGCATTTTGTTAATATCAGCAGAACAGATTTAAATGGGGCCTGCCTGTTGTGTCCTGCCTTAATCTTTGTATTCATGCCTGTTAGCGTGAAAGAAGCTAATTGCATGTATGTGCCACCTCACTTAAGTTGAGGCCCTCTGCATGTGCTGTATCATTGTGGCCCCCGGGGCTTCCAAAGTTGAGTAGCCTGACTCTAACAAGACATAGTAGCTGATGTCCACACCTCCTACTACTAGGGCTGCCAATCAAGTCGGGCTATTTTGAACGGGGCCCTTCGGCCGGAGACGTAGGTGCCTTGGCTGGTGCCTGCACAGAATTGCAGCGCGGATCTCTGGCTCTGGCGGCGCAGGGTAGCCTAGACTCAGGTCCTTTCGCTTCGTCTGTCCGGAGCTGCTGGGCGATGCGGGGCCGCGCGCGGAGCTTTGCGGACCCTCGCCTGAAGCAGCGAATCAAGCAGGTGCCGCTTCCCCTCCCCCGGGTCTGCTCCTGTCTCGCCCCGCCCCCCAGTTCCCTCGCGCGCTCCAGGGCAGTTCGGGGGTTGCCTTGACGTCAGCCCCGAGCCCTGCGCCGGACCCCGCTGCTCCGCGCCAGGCAACGGCGGGCCCGGCGCTCGGGTCTAGGCCTGCTAGTGGCTGTTCCATTGGCCAGGCCCGGCCCGGCCCCGAGCGCGTGTGTGTAAAACGCTGGCCGCGGCCCTGGCTCCCCACGAGTTGCCTGGTGCCGCGGGCTACCCCGCGTGGGGGGCTTTACAACCCGAGACGGGCGCGGTGGGAGGGAATGATTTTACTGCAGCCCTGTTGAGCGAGCGTGTGGTTATTGTGACTGGTGTCTGGATCTCCGCTGGGCACCTTCCACAGACACATTTATCTTTAAAACGCCCCTCTGAGGTATTGAATTATGATCCGCCTCTTACAGGCCGTGAACTGAGACACAGAAATGAGACTGCATGGAAAGTCGAGCAGAATCAGAGATGGAACCCATGAATTCTGTTTCCACATGCAGTGCCCTATCAACTGCAGGACCTTTTTTTCTCCATTGTATTGATAGTCAGACTTCGCTGGTTCAGCAACTAAATTAGTGAGAAAAGTTACCCAAAGGGTCATATTAGTGAGAAAAGTTACCCAAAGGGTCATAGTAGCGTGAATTGACTGTTTCATTCACTGTACTACTAGTCATAAAGGATATTAAAAATCTTTTAATACAGTAACCATGTAGCTGCTAAAAGTCTTAACAGTTACATGTGGGCTCTGCTGTATAAAGTTTAGCAGAGGCCACAGCAAAGCCTCTCTAGGATCAGGGCTACCAGCGCCTGCCCACCTGGCATCCAGGGAGGGGACTTCATTTTGGCAGAGAAGCCTTCTCCCCAGAAGCAGCAGAGCATCCTTTGCCCACCTGGCTCCTGGGGAGAAGGCTTTGCTGCCCTGAGATAGTGAAGCCACCCCCCTGGGAGCTGGCTGAATTTAACCAAGACGATTAATCGATAAACATCAGCTTATCGGTTAAATGGTTAGTCGGATAAACTCTAACATCCCTACTAATTATATTTAAACAGTACAACAGGGGAAATATTTTATTTGCATTTTGTCTCACAACAAAGAAATTAATAACTTAGTGCAAGTTGACAATTTAAGTGGCTAATAAGATATTGAAAGCATCCTGATAGTCTAAGCGACGAGGAGTCCTGTGGCACCTTATAGACTAACTGAAGAGTCTAAGTTATTAATCAGTGCTGGCTAAAGTGTCTCCTGCTGCTTTTGCAACACATGTGTGTGGTTAATAATTAAATCAATCGGAGTATTACTGCTCTGTTAATTTACTGTGGATTTGCCCCAATTAATGACATTTGTCAGTTTGGTCTCCAATTTACATTCCAGTAAATGTTGTGAATTGGCTACGTAAATAGCTAAGTTTCCATCAAACTGATAAATAATAATATAACTTTGTGCAAAATAAATTCATACAGTTTCTGATGTTTTAGTTTTTCTCTTGTATATCATCTTGTGAATCAATTCAACAGAAAGTCTAAAATTCTATAAACTCTGCATTGCAGTACCTGAGCAGTAATAAATGTGGTCGATATGTGGACATTGGAATTTTAGCAGCTGGTTTACAGAAAACTTACAGGTGAGCAAAAAGTGTAATCCTTGTATTCTGTTTTTAATAAACAATAGAAATAGTAGTATACATTTGCATATCTAAAAATGTTAATACCGTATTTCTCGTGACAATTATGAATTACACTTCCAGTAGACTTCCGATAATCCGGCACCTTTGGGACCCAGGAGGTGCCGGATTATCGGATATGCCGGCGTATCAGGAGGTACTCCGGCAGGGAAGCTGTGATGGGTCTGCCGGGACCCGCACTGCGACTGGTGGGGCTGGGGGCGGGCCGAGAAAGGGAAGGGGAGGAGAAAGTAAGGGGATTATACCTCTGTGATGGGTCTGCTGGACCGCACTCGTCCGGCGGAGGGCAGAGAGGGTCAGCGGGGAACGGCGCGGTGTGGGGCGAACCCTCCATCTTTTTTTGCAGAGGCGGGGGAAGCCCCGTGCAGCCGCCTGCTAAAGGCCAGCTGGGGCTGCAAGCGGCAGCGGCGGACTTGGGGAAGCGGCTGAGCAGAGCAGCTGGAGCGCTGCCAGGTTGGTCCCACAGCGCTGCCCCTCACCTGAGCAGCGCTGTGGGACCAACCTGGCAGCACCCCAGCTGCTCTGCCCCGCTCCGCCGCTTCCCCAAGTCTGTCACTGCCACTTGCAGCCCCACTTGGTCTGTCTCAGGCTGCTGCGCGGGGCTTCCCCCGCCTCCCTGCAAAACGGTGGAGGGTTTGCCCCTCTTTGTGCTGTTTCCCGCCCCCAGGCCAGACACATTATAGACCCGTCACGGGTATAATCCCCTTCCCCTCTCCTCCCCTTTCCTTTCCTGGCCCATGAGCGCATGTGGGGCTCACAGAGCTCCAATTGTCCAGCTGGCTGGAGGACTTCCAGGTTCCAGTTAGTGCCAGACTATCAGGAGTGCCGGACCACTGGATGCTGAACAATTGGAGTTTTACTGTAAAACTAGGTTTGAAAGTTGCTTAGTAAGTCACAGATCTAGGAAAAAGTACAATGAAAATAAATTATTTTCTGGTTAAGGTTTTCTCTGGCAAAATTTCCAGTAATTTTTTTATATTGTTGTACCGTAGAACAGTGTTTCTCAAAGTGGTCCATGGACCCACTCTGACAGAGCTGCTACTGGGCCGCTCCGGATTGTTTGTTTACTTGCTCTGAAGTCATGTAGAAATTTATTGTGGAAGAGACCTCAAATGATCATCTATTCCAGGGCTACTCAACATGCAGTCCGTGGCCTGTTTGTTTGCAGTCGGTGGTGCAGTTTGAGTTTATGTGGAGCTCAACACGTGACCCATGGGTGGGAGGCAAACCAAAAAAGTAGTCAATATCATGGTCTTCTGTTGATATGCGTTTTAGTGGTTAAATTCCTGGACTGTCGTTGCTCATTAAAGTGCTGCCATATGGATGGAAGTCGGGTAAATATTGTATTTTATTAATAGCAGCAGAACTGGCTTAAATAGGGCTTGTGTGTTTTAGTTTTGCCTTAATCTTTGTATTCATGCCCGTCAGTGTGAAAGAAGCTATTTGCATATATTTGCATATATGTTTGCAAGTATATGCAACCACACTTAAGTTGTGGCCCTCGACAGTGTGCTGTGAGTATCATTGTGGCCCCTGGGGCTTCCAAAGTTGAGTAGCCCTGATTTATTCCATCTCTTTGTATTGAAGCAGGACCAAGTACAGGCAGTCCCCGAGTTACGCAGATCCGACTTATGTCGGATCCGCAGTTACGAACGGGGTTTGCTGCCCGTCTCCCTGGTCTGCTGAGACGGGGAGCAAAGTCTCTGAGGACAGCGGCAGCGGGACAGCCGTGCCGTGTCTGGGCTGTCCGCTGCCCGCGTGCTCCCCGGCTTTGCTCCCCGTCTCCCTGGTCTGCTGGTCTCTGAGGCTTTTCTGTAGTGTTGACGTGCTATTTCAAAATAAGCTATTTCAGGGAAAAATAATCCAAAATAGCTTATTTCAAAATAACTTGCTCTATAGATGTACCCTCAGTTGCCTAACTTTTCAAGGTGTTTTTAAACACCACAGCAAAGAGAATTTTAAAGCATAATTTGAAGGAGGACAAGGAAGTAGCTTTGTTCATGCTTATAGCCTCTCTCTATCGTGGGATATATAGTTTGTGATCTGTTAGTGGAGGAATGGACAGTAACACAGCGGCAGTTTGCCAGGGTTAGCACCTAGCGGGCTACCGCCACTATATTTAACTATATTTACCCGCACAGCTGCAGTTACTGGTGATTGGCCGCAGATCACTGTTCCTAGCCAATGGCAGCGGAATAGGCAGGGGCACTGCTTCCCGCAGTTCCCTTTGGCTGGGAATGGTGATCTGCAGCCAATGGGAGCTGCGATTGCTGGTACCCATAGCCATGCAGGTGGGGGCCCTCCAGGAGCTAACCCTGGTGGACTAGATCTAGCCCATGAGCCAGTATTTATCCACCCCTGTGTTATTGGAAGGGAACTCAGCTGCTTGATCATGAAGTTGGGAGAGCACATTCATTGCAAATGATTAAAGGGTCTGAATTTTTCATTATGCCAAAAAGAAAAAAAAATCCAATGGTTGAACTTAGTGCTTGTGAAAGTAATGGACCACATTGTTTGTAGCTGGGGATACGGTGTTGTGCAAGATTCCATTTTACTAATTTATCAGTGCACCACAAGAAGAACCCATCCTTGTCCAGTTCCTAGCTACGTATGTAGACGTTGTGTATTTTGGTTGGAAATCCACATAGCTGATTCTTCTTTTATATTGCCATTCACTGCTCTATGTGCTCAGCTGACGAGGAATATTGCCATTCACTGATCTATGTGTTCAGCTGAGAAGGCGTTTCGTAATCCACACAAAATGTCCTTTTGAAGACCACTAACTAGAGACCACTGAGATTCACCTTGCACTTTTATCCCCAAAATTTAGTGTAGTATCACACTATTTGAATTGCACCTAATCTTTTTGTAAAGCCTGGGAATACCTTGAACCAAATCACTCTTCCATATGATTTGTTCCTGGATGCACTCATATAAACAATTGTGGAGTGTGTCACTACATGAAAGAAGGCTTCAGTGAGAAACTAACGTGTGCAATTGTTTTTCAGTGCAGAATATGGCCGAAGAAAGAGAAATGCCTTTAGAATTCAGGTTGAGAAAGGTAAGTCTGTTAATATCATGACAAAAATACCAAACAAGTTAAAGAAGCTTTCTGAATTACTGACTACACTGTTGTTGAGCACTTGGTGTCATCTTCTCATCATATTCTTCTGTTTTTCCCTAGTATTTGAGATAATAAGTAATGAGAGAGAATTTGAAGATTTAACCACTTTAGAAAATGAACATGTGGCGAAAAGAGCAAGAGACAGACAAGGAGAGGATGAGTAAGTTGAAAATTTTGCTTTAAGACTACTTCAACGATGATGTTAGTGCTTTGTATCTTTTAAAAAAACCTAACTATGCAGGCCCTGATCATGCAAGCTATTTCATACAGGTGCGCCCTTGTATCCTCATTAGCCTGTTCTTTGCTTGGAGGGGAAAAAGGGCCAGGAGAAGAAGTTCTTAATTCAAGTTACGTTCTAGTGAAGCAGGCCCATAGGCTTGAATTCAACCTGATAACTCACATAAAAACTATACCTTTTTACTGGGGTTATCTTTTTAATTGAGGTATGTGTATGTGTGTGTTTTGAAGACAAGTCCACTGGCCCCGGAAGGGATCCTCGTAGGTAAAAGGTAGGGATGTAAAATCTCGGCAAATCAGTTTACAGGTCAAATGTTAGGTTGACCTAACATTTAACTGGCTAAGTGGGATCTGGGCTGGGGCTGCTGCTGGCTTCCAGGCCCCACCAGAGCAACCCCTGTCTGTGGTGTGTTGGGCTCCCTGCAGATAGCGGCTGTGCTGGTGTCCCAAGCAACTTCTATCTGCGGGATACCTAGGCCTGCTGCGGACAGGGGCTGCTGCTGTCTGTCAGGCAGATAGCTGCTTCATTCCTACTGGTTAATGGTTAATCTTTAACATCAGTAGTAAAAGGATTCATCCATGTAGCTTGTGTAGATGGGGGCATATCAGTTAAATCTTTATATCTCCTCTGAGTCATACAGGTCTTATTGCTATTTTTTTGTGCATGAAAACCTGAAATGCGGCATTTCAGTGAATTTTCAAAGGGCACACAGCCTTTTAGTGTTAGAGGTGAGCTTAGAATTTGCATTTCCTGGCTTCTAATCATGTGCACAGTCCCCTAGAGCATTCTGCCCCCTTATATGTGTTGTTTTTTGTATTGTCTGAATTAAAAAGGAGACTTACTTTCAGCATTAAAATATTTGTCACTAACAGAAAATAGCCATTCAAATCAGTGTTTGTAAAATAGCGTATGTTTAATGCAGTACAGAACACACAGATGTTCTGAATTTCAGTCATCAGACCTTTAAACACTTTTCATAACAAGAAATCTGTTGGCTTTTTATTGACCTTATATTTTCTTGTGCAGTCATATATCTGTAATAACAATCTAGAGGACAGTCATTGGAAGAGAGAGATACAGTGATCATTGTCCTGCAGTGCTAATTTCTATGGTCCTGTAGTGCTAATTTCTATGATTAATAGTACAGGGATAATCTGAAAGATTCAGATCTGGACTCATCAAGGTTGGGCAGGCTACAGCAGAGGTGGGGAACCTAAGGGCCAGGGTTCCCCACCCCTAGCCTAATGTACAGCTTTCAGACAAATTCTATCTAGTGTTGGAGTGTAGCTAAATAATTCAAAGAAACTTTTTAATTCTATAGAAACCAACTGTGTACACAAGGATAATATACTACTTAATGTGCCTGACTTCCCACAGTGTGTTTTTATAATGGTGCACATGAACAAAAAGATTTACACTGATATTAGTTGGCTTGAGTGTGATCATATTGCCTTCTAGAGGCTACAGCCTGCTTATGTGTTAATACTGCCACACAAACATGAATATTTCACTTATTTTAGTTGCTGTAAATAGGTACTGAGCTGTGGTACTGAAGTATTCTTTTTTTAGCTAACACAATTTGTGTGGTTGGTTTATTTATTGGTAAAAAGCAGATTAATAATAGATAATATATTTTTATTTATTAAAATACAAAAATCCCTTGCCTCCTTGTCCCCATAAGGAATTCTGTTCATAATTTCAACCTTTTTATCTTTGGTTTGAATTCTAGCCTCAAAATTTAAAAATGAATACAGCTTTATTTCCTCAGATGTCTCCAGCCACACAAACTGAGTAGGCTATTCCAGCAGGCTTTGAAGTCTGATTTCCGGACTGCCAGAATAGCTTTGTGTACTATAGAGAGCCCTGCTGGTGGTGGATAGCTCTGAGGATAGAAAGTTTCCCCTCTTCGACAACCAGATTTAGATTGGAGGGTGGGGCCGGAGGTACATGGCAATTGTATCTCTATTCCTCTCTCACAAACACAGCAGTACAGGCAGTCCCCGACTTACGCGGATCCGACTTACGTGGGACGGTCCGACTGTGGGACGGTCCCCAGCAGACCACAGGCACCCAGATTGAAGCGGCGGTTCCCCGCGCCTCTGAGGCTTAGCTCTGGCAAAGCCTCAGAGGCGCGGGACTCCGCCGCCTCCCCGGCTTTGCTCTAGCTGTCCCTGGTCTGCTGGAGACGGTCCCCCGCAGACCAGAGGCTCTGGCAAAGCCTCAGAGGCGCAGGACCCCGCCGCCGCTGCGGCTTTGCGCCCCGCGTCCC